GTTGAGCAAGCATAAGAAGAAGAAGAAAATGAGGTCGAGGGCTGTGTGAGTACCTTCCTTTTCTCTGATGGTTGTCTTGGCCACAGAGCTGATGATGAATGGTGCTGTAGCGCTATAGGAGAGGTTGAGATCGACGAAAGGGACCGCAAAGACTATTTTTCACCTTCTACGGGGCTTTTTGAAGACTACTGCTCCAGCATCATCGCACGCTATGGCCTTAACACGCCAGGTATGATCCAACAACGTGAGGTCAATAATGTCCAGTATGACTACCATGACGAGATGTCGCCTTCCGAGAAGATTTTTACGGTCACGACAAGTGATGGGGCTGTGTTCTATAGTCGGACGGTTGTGTTAGCCATTGGGCCTGGAAGGACGAAGGTTTTCCCATTTAAGCTAACGGATGAAGAGGCAAACGGGGGTTGCCATAGTACGGAGATTCGATCATTTCCAAGTCCCAATGTGAAAAGAAAGATTCAGCAACGTCAGCAGACAAACTTGATGGTTGTTGGCGGAGGGCTCTCTTCAGCTCAGATAGTGGATATGGCTATCCGGAAGGGGGTGAGCAAGGTGTGGTTCCTGTTAAGGTCCGATTTCAAAGGTAAGTAATGGGATCAGATTTTCTCCTCGAAGTAGTTTAGTAACGGAGGGTATCAGTCAAACACTTCGATATCGACCTGACTTGGATGGGCAAATTCAAAAACTACGAAAAGGCAGCTTTCTGGTCCGCAGACACGGACGAAGAGCGCCTCGAGATGATCAAGACAGCTCGCAATGGAGGCAGCATTACACCGCGGTACCAGAAAATCCTGAAGCAGCATGCAGCCCGCCACCGTGTCTCGATCCACTCTCGTACAGTCATCCTGAGCCGTGAGTACTGCCCCATGTCTCAGACATGGCGCCTCACCACTGATCCTCCAATTCCCGACCTACCTCGCATCGACTACATCTATTTTGCAACAGGTATGCAGGCGGATGTGAATGAACTTCCACTGCTTCAGCAGATGAACCGTGAATATCCGATTGAGACTAAACAGGGTCTGCCGTGCATCACGGATGATCTCATGTGGAAGGCGGATTTGCCTTTGTTTGTAACTGGACGGCTGGCTGCCCTCCGCCTAGGTCCGGGAGCCCCTAATCTTGAAGGAGCGAGGCTGGGGGCAGAGAGAATTGCGTGGGGGATGGAGGAGGTGCTGGGGCGGAGGGAGAGCGAGGATACACCTGCTGAACGATCGAAAGAGTGTTTCTGTGGCTTGGGAAATCGATATGCTGGGCTAGCTGATGTGAATTGATAATTTGATTTTGCGGCTGATTACCCCAGGCAGCATTTAAACTTCTGATTATGTAGAGCCTCATATATGAGCCTCGCTGTATAGGGTCGTAGTAGTACGAGCATTGCATGACAGGTTTACGAAGTATATGAAGCCCATTCGTGATGAAGCCGTTCGTGTACCGTACCACTTCATACCTGTATTACATACACGTTGAGAAGACTTTCTGCGGTCTCCGGTGGAAACCACTGTAACATATGGTGTATTAGAAAATACAATACCTGAGATAGTATCTATTTAACGATGTTGCCTAAGTCGACATAATACCATCGATCACCAACAGTCACTGTAGCCTTCTCTTCTTCATCTACGAACCTTCTTCATCCACATGGCTCTTCCAGGCAACCAAGCTTTCTCAGCATTCTAAGCCACAGCTTGATCATCCAGACGTCAGATGGATTCAGCTTCAGACGACTAGCAAGCTGCCATCGACATGCGCGCTTGGTACTAGTAATGCTCCAGCGACAGCGCCTACGCGGCGCTTTCCTCTCTCTATCAGTCCGCCACGCGTTCTCTGATACTAGCTGATTTGCCTCAATCACATGTGGCACATGAATCAACAGTGCCACATGGTTGCAACCTTGCGAGCGGAAAACGCCGTGGTGATGGTGACAGTTATTAGCCAGGAAGAAATCATCTTCCGTGAATAGCCCGCACCGCCACAAACCACCAGCCACATATGTGGCGAGTTAATTTACCGTTGCTTATTCGGCGAGAAACACCTCTGATTGGTATGTGGAGCATTGTTATGCAGAGGCAATTACCTAGCCCTTAGTACTTACTCTAATTTACTAACTCCGGAGTATGCAGTCCGGTCACGGATGATGGAGACAGTCCCGCAAATCATATGGTTTATCAAGACAAGAGGAACTATGGAAAATTAGCTTTCTCGCAACTATTGGCGAAGGGGGCGCAGCCCACTGGTCTTCATTACCGCAACTTGGCGTCAAAATTCTGGACTTTCGATCAGACACACCCGCGCTTTTGCATTGTCCCTCCGTCCGTAGCGCCGTCCGGACTCCGCGTCTCTATTCGCCGCTTTTCCATGGATTTTAACGCTTTCTACGAGCCACTCAGAGCATTGAGTGCGCTATACATCGATTCTAAGCCATCCCCCGCGCGTTTAGTCGCGTTTGGGAAGTGTTACAACCGCTGACGTCGCGCCCTCTCAGGAGAGTGGACGTGGAATGATTGAGGATACAAAATTCCTCTGGCGGTTATACTCGCTAGTTTATTTGCTCTCGGCAAAGTCAGTTTGGTCATGAAGCTCGTTGGCATGAGTGACAGACCCCGCTCTTGGATTAGAGCCGATCACTGTGACTCGTTGGGGATTCCCCCTTTCGAGCTCCCGAGAGATTGTCAAGGAGGCTGTGCAGTGGGAGTATGATGCCAATCCATGTCGATGGAACCACTCACACGACCGAAACCCCCTGCACCCACCATAATCCTTGGAAATTTTGCTGAGCTTGCAGATATTGATTGCAAGCTCCAGATCTTTCATAGATGGCTTGGCTGTGACCGTGTTTCTGCCGTGTACTGTTGAGCTGGTACAACTTGGCATTCCTTGCCGCCTCTGTGGGAGAGTCATATCTGGCACACGAAATTTTAAACATAAATCTTATAAACAATTTATGATTATACCATTATCTGATTTTCATTAGCCAGTCTCGGCACCTACACAGCCTCCTTGTTAGATAAAAGAACACACCCTTCCCCATCACCTGTTTTCTGCACATGCCCTTAATTGAGGGATTTCTACCGACTTATACATATTGATGTTAATCTACTTTTCGTTTCTCTCGTCAGCAAATAAGCTCAGCGTATTAGTCGCAGAATGCTGACCCCAAACGAAAATCGTCAAGAGGGGTTTTTGAACCCCTTCGCAGGGAACCCTGCAAACAGAGAGGTAAGTTTTCAAGCCGCTCACTTGATATGTTTGGGTGCATATTAATATAGAGAAAAGCAGTCATCCGTTTCTCCCGGGCCAGGGCAAACAGACGTATCGTTAGCCCACCCATCTTCGCTATCACCAGACATGGCATCGACCCTCAGTCCAAATACGCTATCAGTCCAGAATGGGCCCCCTCGATCATCACATTCATCATCACCTTCACTTGGCGGTGAAACTTTACGGTCAAGAGCAGACTCAACTATCTCTTGTGCAGATACTGTTGTTAGGTCAAGAGCAAACTCAGCAGCTACCACCACCAAAGCTGTATATGATGACGTCTCAGTGGAAGATGCCTTAAATCCGGATGCTCGAAATGAGGATGATTTCATCGTGCAAGATAATAAGTTTGCCTTCTCACCCGGCCAGCTCAACAAGATGCAAAATCCGAAGTCCCTGGCTGCCTTTCAAGCGCTTGGTGGCTTACATGGCCTGGAACGCGGCTTGCGGACAGATTTGGCAGCTGGGTTGTCCATAGATGAGGGTCGCTTAGAAGGCACCATGAGCTTCCAAGAGGCGACGTCTGGGAACGCCCACCCCAAACAACAATTGTCCTCAATCACAGAAACACCTGCATCCGAGACCGACTCACAGTTCCAGGATCGCATACGCATCTTCAGCCAAAACAGACTGCCTGCTCGTAAGTCGACTGGCTTTCTAAAGTTGCTTTGGCTTGCATACAATGATAAAATTATTATCTTGCTTACTATCGCCGCTATTGTATCACTGTCTCTGGGTATCTATGAGACCGTCAGTGAAGGTTCAGGAGTCGACTGGGTCGAAGGAGTTGCTATCTGTGTTGCGATATTGATTGTCACCGTTGTCACAGCCGCCAACGACTGGCAGAAAGAAAGGCAATTTGCCAAGTTGAACAAACGTGTAAGTAAGCCGTCTAAGTGTCTTTGGATTCTTGTCTGACAGTCCTAGAACAATGACAGAGAAGTCAAAGCCGTCCGCTCGGGCAAGGTGTCTATGATTTCAATCTATGATATTACTGTTGGAGACGTTCTCCACCTTGAGCCCGGTGACTCTATCCCTGCTGATGGTGTGCTGATATCTGGTCACGGAATCAAGTGTGACGAGTCTTCTGCCACTGGCGAGTCAGATCAGATGAAGAAAACCGATGGATATGAAGCCTGGCGGCAAATCACAAATGGCACTGCTACGAAGAAACTCGACCCCTTTATGATTTCTGGCGGTAAGGTCCTTGAAGGTGTAGGGACCTTCCTAGTAACGAGCGTCGGACGATACTCAACTTATGGGCGCATCCTGTTGTCGTTGCAGGAGAATAATGATCCGACCCCTTTGCAAGTCAAGCTGGGAAGGCTTGCCAACTGGATCGGCTGGCTGGGCTCTGGGTAAGATGTGCAATCCTTTGCTTGTAGGCAATATGGCTGACCTCTCTAGCGCTGCAATCGTCCTGTTCTTCGCATTGCTTTTTAGATTCATTGCTCAACTCCCGGATAACCCTGGCTCTCCTGCGCACAAGGGAAAGGAATTCGTAGATATTCTCATCGTTGCTGTTACAGTTATTGTCGTCGCCATTCCTGGTGAGTTGTCTATTCCCGCAATGATGCAATAATATGAGTACTGATGAGAAATAGAGGGTCTCCCACTGGCTGTAACTTTGGCACTAGCCTTTGCTACAACACGAATGGTCAAAGAGAACAACCTTGTGCGCGTCTTTCGTGCTTGCGAGACGATGGGAAATGCCACAGTCATTTGCTCCGACAAGACAGGGACTCTAACCCAAAATAAAATGACTGTGGTCGCCGGGACGCTGGGGCAAAAGAGCTTCGGACAAGATGACAATTCCAGCTCCTCGGTGACCGCAGCTGAGACTTTCAAGCAGTTTTCTTCCAGGATGCGTGACCTGATCGTCAAGAGCATTGCAATTAACTCGACCGCTTTTGAGGAGGAAAGGGAGGGCTCGAAAGAGTTCATCGGGAGTAAAACCGAAGTAGCATTGC